TCGTGCAGATGGTGGCAGAGCTGGCGACCAGACCCCAAAACATCGAGACCCTGCAGAACGCAGGTGAGCCCTCACCTGAACCCGCGTCGCCCCGCACCCGGGGGCTGTGTCACCTCGTGCCCCCGCCTTGCCCTGCGCCTGAGTCGTTAGTCACCCAGGTCCTCAGCCCTGCCTCCCCCGTCACCCGTATCCAGGGTCTGTCGCCGCCCTGTGCCCCCGGGACTCTCTTGGCACCGAGTCCCCGGTTCCCCTCCTCAGCCCTCGGCATGCCCGGGCCTCCTACCCCACCCCTGTCCCCTGCTGGCTGAGTTTTGGGGAGAAGGGTAGGGATTGGAGGACAGTGTCCCTAAATTCCTCCAGTTCACTGCGAAGGTTGTGGGAGCATTCAGGCTCTTTAGGGCAAGGAGGGCCTTTGGGGGTGAGGCTCACAGGTTGGTGTGAGGGGCCCACCATCCCTATTTCCATCTTGATCGCTACCAAGCATGTGTCAGGTTGAAAGTCGAAGCTAAACGAATTGCCTGGAAGTCATTTTAGGTGAATGGGAATCTACCCTAATCAGACCCGTTTTATCCGGGTGCCCAGACACTTCACCCTGCCTTTGATCACCTTCGACTTCTTCACACCAAAGGAATTCCACAGCTTTTGACACACTATTTCTCGTCTTGCATTAGTGAAAGAGCCATGATATGCCTGAATATTTTCCAGGAGATTCAAAGCCAGTCAAGACCTAGCTTTGAGGAATCCTTAAGGTGTTAGCATTTCACCCCTCAGACCGAAATCATGCAGACTAGAGAGGGAGAGGAAGTGTGTGTGTGTGTGTGTGTGTGTGTGTGTGTGTGTGAGATCTGCTTTTATCTGTTAATAAAGAAATAAGATAATTGTGACCCTCCTCTCCTCCCCTCCCCTCCCCTCCCCTCCTCTCTCTCACTCTCTCAGCACGACTCCACCACCATTTGAATTCAAAGTAAGATAGCATTTTGTCACTACTGCATCATGAGAAACCTTTAATTTATTGGATATGATCTTTAAAATTCATTTAAATTAGCATTGAATTTAAAGAAAATTAAGAACATATTGACAGGGCAAGAATGTTTAGACATAGTATTTACTTGGGGTTTTTTTTTGGAATTACTGCTGCATCTAGATGTTTTTTGTTTTGTTTTGTCACTGGGAGGGATTTTGGATATTCCCTATATGTTTTTATTTGGGGTCAGGAGATGCATTTAGAATGGAGAAAGTGAATTTTCTAATCATTTAAAAAACTTTTTATTTAGGGATAATTGTAGGTTCACATGTAGTTGTAAGAAATAATACAAGATGCCATATACCTCAAAACTGTGGTATTATATCACAACCAGGATGCTGACATTGATAATTCATTGATTTAATTCAGGTTTCCCCAGCATGACTTGTACTTATTTGTGTGTGTGTGTTTGTGTTATACAGTTTTATTCTGTGTGCATCCATCACCACCATAGTTAAGATAAAAAACTCATCACCACACGGATGCCCCCTGTGCTGCCCCTTTATAACCACACCCACCTCCCTCTTGTCTATAACCCTGGGCAACCACTAATCTGTTTTCCACTTAAAAATTTTTGTTATTTCAAAATTGATAACCTTTTGTTCTGCAATTGTTTCATGTGGATTAGTTTACTTTCTTCTGTGTGTGTATGTGTGTGTGCTTTTATGCACGCTTGTATAATCCTCAAAGTACTCAAAACAGTGCTGGACAGACAATGTTTCATATATACTGACTAATTAAAGTTTATTAGAGCATATTACATTTTAAAAATGCACTTTTAAAAAAGGCTTCTCCCTCCCCGCCAGCCAGTCCTACTCAATGGCCTTTGTGAATGTACACTTGCTACTTATATTATGTTAAAAATTTGATACTGAAATGTGAAAGTATAGATAACACTTAAGATACAGAATATCATGCTTTAGTATATTAGTGGCAGGTTTTCTCTTCTCATAAGTGTACAATGTAGAATATATTATGGAATTTAATCAATCCAAACTGTTAGGCTAAGTGATCACCAAAGTAAAAGTGACTTAGATAAGACATTTTAAATAGCCATCTATTTCCAGTTATAGTATGGCTTATGAAGGAATGGAGTACAAAAGGAATATAACTTAATGTTTTAAAGTGACCTTCACTTGACTAATGTCTTTTTAAAAATTATTTATTCATTTTTATTGAATTTATTGGGGTACAGTTTTCAAGTGTACAACTCAATCAAACATTATCTGCACATTGCATCATGTGCCCATCCCCCATTTTTTCCACCTCCACCTACCCCACACCACCCTTCCCCTCTGGCTATCATCACACTTGTCTGTGTCTAAACACACACACACATATATACATACATA